ATTTTCGGATTTCAGAACCCTAATTTCCAAACTTCAGCGAATCCGGGGATTTTCCCCATCGCTAATACCTGCCACAGCCGTGCCCGAGCTACACACTCGCACGCACGCACCCAGCGTGTACAACGCAATAATATATTATACGTTATTCTCGTACAACGTTCCATGACGATTTATTACGGTTTTACACAACTGCTTCGGTCTGTTCAGCGTATTTTATTTAAATCATTTTTATTGCCGTGCACACTCGTACTACGGCGGCGGGCGCGCGCGTAGTGTTATACGTATACACCGCGGACCTTACTACGTATTATATAACGTAGAGACAACGGTTTTTTTCTCCCTCTGTGCTACGAATATGAATAAAAAAAAAAAAAAATTCTCGTTTGTAATTTATCGAAATCTATCGCGGCCCAACGTGGGGGTACGCCGCGGTACGGACGAAGACGTGATTCGGTACCGAGTGGAAATGTTTAACGGACGACGCGGAAAAACAAAAAAATAAATAAAAATGAAATTCGAAATAATTGCGACTACCGCGTATTAATGTTTGCGTAGTGCCCATGTTATTATGGCCCATCATCAAACGGCGGACAGCGTTTATACCAACGTGATAATAATATACAATGCGTCCGTACACCCGACTGCACATCGAACCGCCGACGAAGTCGTTGCAATTAACTCTCGCGCGTTGTTACGACGTGCACTTGTGTGCCCGTGAAGCACTAGCAGCAAAAGCGGTACATTGCGTGTTTTGCGTTCGCTGTTATCCACTCGAAACCGTTTTGCGAGTGTTTCACATCACGCAACATCAGCGCGTAAAACCGATAGTCTCTAATAATGTGAGGACGAACCGTGTTTCGTCGTTTCCTGCTCCTAATACTACGTCTACTGCGCGACTACCCCGGACGGCGATCGTTCGTCGGTAACCGCGTTCGGTCGAAACGGATTTCGAGTGACTACAGCGCCCTCGAGAACCCCCTGAAAAATAACTACTCGAATGATGTGTAACATCAAATACGTTTTTACGTTCTTCACGCGTCTCCGTCGTGTCAACTAACCTGCGGCGATCGTTTATCGAAACGAGGATTTCGGGTCTTACATTCGATCTTTGGTCGTAGTATTTGACTAATACCACGTTTTGAACGTACCAAGGCGTCCAAAAATACGTATTTTAGCTTTTTTGTCATTTTTAGGTGATGTTCCTCGAGTTTTTCGGGATCGCGAGTGCGTCATGCTCTGCCGAACTGGACCTTTAACTTTTATATTTTAAATCAGAATGTTTTACATAATCTCTCTTATTTTAATCTTTATGTCTTATTAATACATGACTGTTCGCGTTTGACGCATAGCACGTTACGGTTCAAATACGTTTCCGTTATCTCATACGTGACTTTGGGTTAATTACGTATTATGATCGGCTGTAGTTGTTACAAGGACGTCGGTCAAATATACAATATCAATCATTATGACGGAGAATGCGTATCCGATTCGATGTTTTTTACTTTTTTTTGATTTCCACCATAAAGAATTTTCGCCATACAACGTTCGTTTGATTCTACATTCCATTATTATCATAACACTAACGTAGGTATCCCATACGTCCCGTAAAATACGGAATCGTCCCGTATTTGAATGAAGTCTCCCGGAATGTCCCGACACAAATTTAAAAATAACACATTCCCGTATTTCGGATAATCCGTCTCGTATGTACCTTAGTTTAAAAATTAAATTTTTTCACATCATTTTAAATATTCAAAAACTATAAAACGTAAATCAAATAATAATTAATAATATTCGATTATAAAAAAAAAAAAATATAAAAAACAAATTAAAACTATCTCTTATGATTTTTTTTTTCTATAGGAAAGTCATTTAATTATAATTTATATTTGTTTCCAGTATCAGATATTACTAGTAACTGTGAGGGAAATTAAATTTTACATGGAGGCCAAATGTAATTTTTTCTTAGCCACCAAATATTAAAAAAGAATTTGTGTAACAAACATCATGCATTTAATGTTGTTATATTACAATTGCTAACATAAGTCCCCTCAGCTCTCCCCAAATCAGCACCAATGTGAATCACAAGTATACGTATGATTAAAAATGTCCCGTATTTTTAAAAAATTTATCTGGGATCGCTACACCAACGTAATACCGTGCGCTGACCACGCGCGGTAGCTTTTCGTCGCGTCCGCGGTCGTCAGCGAAATAGTCTTGCAACGCGTGTCCGGCATCAAAACAGAACGACGATTTACGATTTCGCGTGCGAGCGATCCGCGGCACGTGCGTGGTTCTCGGCGAAAACGTATTGTTTATTTTTGTTTAAATCGAATCGATTTCGCAATCGAAATCGTTTGAAACGCGCCGCCGACCGTTCGCGACGTAACATCAGCCGCGTAGCGTAACGCGGTGCCGGTGCGGAATGCGATGCGATGCTGCGGCGGACGTTCGGCCGGTCCGAAAAACCCCTGTGTAACTGGATATCGACCAAGGCCTGAGAAAAAACGTGTGTCGCATTGTTGCGCGAGTAAGGCACCCCCGTCGCAATACTGGGCCGTTCGCGAATGAAAATTATGCGGCGAAGACGAGAGAAAAAAAAACCGTTATCCCGTGCGTCGGACACCCGGCGGGGCGAAAACATCGTGACGGGGGTGGTGGGGACGGCGAAACTAGTGATAATAAATCGCGTGCGTTCGGGTTCGATATAGACAAATCACTCTCCGCGCTCATAACATTGGCAAAGTTATACGAAAAAAAAAATTGCATTTATTGTAGTTTTTTTTTTTCTATTCGTACATTTTATTGCCGATAAACGTCGAATTTCGTCATCCCTACGCGTGGGAGAGTTTACCGCGCGCCCGGAAACCTGTGCGTACCGTCCGCGCATAGAGGTGTACGCATCACAGCGGACAACGATTGGAATCCAACGATCGGATACAAACCGTTTTGGTGTACGCATCGTTGATGTTTGTACATGAATACGATGGCTGATCGGTTTGCGCGAATCAGATGTTTAATAATATGTTGCGGTACAGCGCGACGTTGTACTGTTGATATGCGCGCGCGTTCGTGCGTTTCGGATTAATCAACAATTGATTATCGTTCATCGAGTAATGTAAACGTATAACGTACCGTATCGAACGCTTGATCATCGGCATGTTTTATGTTTTTTTGTTTTTTTTGTTTAATGTTTGCATAAGATTTTTCGAGCGATTTGGAACGATTTGCGCGTGGTGTTAATACCATTTTATTTGTTAACTGTGCTTTTAACGATATCTATTCGTGTCACCGTTTGTGATACGCTCGATCGCAGTTCTTCGACACGCAACCGTATCATTTCATCGATCAACACTTTAAACTGTCTACAAAACTCCGGTTGCATATCATATGCGTACAACTAGAATTTTATAGGTTCAGAAGTGAAACTCCATCGTCTCTTGGAATTTCACGATCAACCGAAGGAATGAAAATTGTTTTCGTTTTGAATACGAGTATTTGACGTTATGAAACACCAACATTGTATCGGAAAGCCTAATAAAAAAAAAAAAAAAAAAAAAATAGATACGTACAGCAAAGAAATTTGATTTATAGCCAATAGGCAATATCAGTATTATAATTTGAAGAATAGAAAATGAATAGCCAATGGTTATAGATTTATAAATATTAGTAAAAAAAAAACCGTTGATAAAGACTGAGTATGGATATTGCAGATATTTAGTCTCGCTTGGCTTACTCGACATGTAGCCAGTAGCAATTTTACGGGGGAAGGGGGTCTAGACCCCTGAACACCCTAGGTCCTGAGTTTCAGCTGTGATATATTATTTACTCGGTACGATTGGGCTAAAAAGATTATGTTATGTTTTTTTTATTTCAAAGAACTACGTTTTAAGTAATAAATTATTAATGGGTTGAACATTTTTGTATCTTAATATATCATAAGATTATATCAAAGCAGTGGTGGCACCAGGAATTTTTCCCAGGACGGGCCAAAAGGAGCCCAACATATATAAGGGCAGACGGTATAGTTGTATGGAAGTTGAATAAACGGGGGAGGGGGGTTTACAGGGGCTGGATTGCCCTGAGTGTCCTATTTTTGGACTCTCCGCCATTTTGACCCTCCATATATAAGTACAGTACCTTTGTTATAAAAATTTTTTTATTTCATATGTAATATAATCTTTATTATGAGCAAAAATTGTATATATTGTTCATTTAAGTGAATTCCTTTAACGTCAAAAACTTTTATCTAAATTATAAATAATTATTATAACATAACAATAGATTGTATCTAGTCTTTAATCGTAAAAAGATACTAGATACAAAATACAATTGTATCTCAGATACGTATCTTAAATACTACATAGTATCTAAGATACTGCCCAGCCCCGGTAACACCAAACGAACAAATACATACTACACGATACTAATCAACAGGATATTATCTAATATGTATATATAATTATCTGAATAAACTCTCCAATGTTTACTAATCACGACGTATTATTCCTAGGAATTGAACGTCACCTATAAATTATGGGAAAATCGGTTTGTACGATTTTCGAAATTCAACGACGGCATCATGGCAGACCCAGGTATGTTAGACAGACGAATGTCTTTAGTTATAGTATCGACTCCGTTTGTGTTTTCATAATTATACGATTTTTACAGCGACCCTTTACTCCGGGCCTCCAGAAGTTTTGGCAAAATTGATGGCTTCCCGGTGTAAGTCGCTGGGTACTGTGATAGACCCGTTTTGCGGTTCCGGTGCGATCGCGATCCAACTGGCCATGATCTGCCGCAAAGGTATATTGCTGACAACATGAAAATACAATTATTGTCATTTTATTTAACATGTTAATTGTATATTAAATCGTAATGTATACTAACATTGGACTCATAACGGTTCGCGTTTTTTATGTAGTCATTGCGATGGACAGTGATCCGGTCAAAATCGCGTTCGCCCGGAATAATGCTCGTGTGTACGGGGTCGAAGACCTAATCGTTTTCCCGGTGGGTGACTTCTTTTTTCGATGCCCACTCGCTGCAGAGGGCAAACGGCATCGTCACGTCACCACCAGTGAACATGACTAAACAGGAAATGGTGAAATTAACCAAATTGGCAAGTAGGGTGACGCCGAAAGTCTTAATGAGGTTAACGAAAGACCATGAATTGTCAGATGTAAGTCCACAGATCGTGTTATGAGAGCATCAATACCCATATAATGTTTATTTATTGTTTTTATAGCTATACCAATTAGAGAATAAAATATTTAATAAAATAAATACAGAACAAATATATATTGACAGGGAGCCAAATTCAATTTTGGCTTTCCTAGGTCCCGGAGTACGTATTTTTTTTATATTATTAAATGTTTACAATAATTAGGCATAACTATAATCATCGGTCCATTGTCCAATTCACACTTGCAAGTTAATTTTGTATGTTAATAATCTGTTTTAGATGAATACGAATAACTATAACAGAAATGTAAATAGGAAACAAAAGAAAGTGCTTTTGTTTTCTGATGGTAAGTTGTAAAAAGTATACGATGTATATAGATAAAATAGTGTTTTTTTTGGGAGATCTTGATACCAATGATAACATTATTTTTAATTTACATAGGGGTATCTGTTCATCGTCGTGTTCATTGGATAAGAGGTAATAATCTTTTTGCATACGACGATTACCTCAAAAACATTGAAGAATTTCTGGAGAGCTAAAATCTCAACTGACATACGATTTCTCAACACAATCGGAAGAATATAATACAATTGATATCTAATAGTAAACACTATTTATAAATTGTATAGATAAGGGACATATTTCAAATAAGGAACATTTTGAATTTTCATGAATCATTTATAAGAACTAATACATTATAAGCAGTATTAATTTTATGAAAAAAAACGTTCTAAAGATATAAAAGTATTATATTAAATAGATAATCGTTTAACATTTTTATATTTCTACATGAAATATACAATGAACAATTTTTGTAAGAGCATCGTTCGGTAGTTTTATATGTACCCAGCTTTGAGTTCTAAGGGATAATTCTATCAACCCCTTTTAAAATAGAACAATTTCAATAGTGAAGTATGAATATTTTTAGGATTATTCTGTTTTAATTTTGACAATGACCCATTTATTGAATATAAATATTACATTTTCAACGAACACCCGTACCGAGCAACAATTAGATACCACAATAACATCATTATTGTTAAATCCAACTAATAAATAAATTATATTTTATTTCAGATACACACACCATATAGTATATTTTGAATTAAAATTTGAATTAGAATTTTGTATTTATTCTATATCCATTGAAAGATTAGAAAAATTGTTAGGTTGATAACGGATGTGTTAAAAGAAAATAGAGATCTACAAGTTAAATGTTTGTGTAAAATATTACAAATGACTGGTTCGAAATTATCAAAAGTAACATTTTAAATACTATTAATTAAACATTTTAATAGCTCTCCTAATAACGTGATTTATTATTTCTTGATGTATTTCTAGTCTAATATAGCTTGGCCAAAGCTTTTGCGCATCTATTAATACAGTCGACTCTCAGTAACTCGAAGTTCAAGGGGGAAAAAAAAAATTCGACTTACTAAAAATTTCGAGTTATCAAAAACTTTTAAAAAGTATGTTTTTATTTTTATATAATATGTATTTACATTAACGAAATAAAAAAGAAAATTTACATGTTATTATTTTTAAAGAATTGGTGTAAAGTTAATTGTTTTTGTTTATTTAACACTATATTGTTCTCAATTCTATTTTCTAAAACACCGAGTGGCTTAAATAAATCTTCCATACCTTCATTGCCTTCAATATATTTACGTAATGTTTCTAATGCAAGTGTTGCTTCTTTATTTGTAATGGTGGATTGTACTTGTTGGTCTTCGAATTCTTCTTGGTTATCTTCGTCCAATATATCGGAGATAATATCGTTCTCAGTCCATTCTCCACAAATATCCAAATTTTCATCGACATTAACGTATGATGTAAAGGTTTCATCAATATTTATTTTCTCCGTTAATTGATCCCATTCATCGTTATTATCATCAGAAGGATCATAAGGAGTGTTTTCATCGTTTTCAATTGAAGTTTTAAAACCTGATTTTGTAAAACCGTTTACAATCGTTCCTTTTTTTACGTGTCGCCATGCATTATCGCATAGCCGTATAGCATCCAATATGTTTATTATGATTTGATTGTTACCATTTAAAGCCGATATAATTTTTTTTACCATTTCTTTTCGATAAAATATTTTAAAATTATTTATTATGCCTTGGTCTAATGGTTGTAATACAGACGTAGTATTAGGAGGTAAAAACTGCACTTGAATAGCATTTAAAGTTGAAGTCAAATTGTGTGCAGTACAATTATCTATAAAAAGTAAGATTTTTCTTTTCTCGGTGACCATTTTTTTATCTAATTTCATTAACCACAAATTAAAAATTTCAGACGTCATCCAGGATTTTTTGTTCGCATGATAATCTAATGGCAATGATTTTACTTGTTTAAAACATCGTGGTTTTTTCGACTTACCAATCAAAAGTGGTCTTAATTTTTCCGTGCCCGACATATTCGCCCCTAACAGAAGTGTTACTCTTTCTTTGCTATGTTTTCCACCTGAACAAGATTGGCCTTTAAACATAAATGTTTTTTCAGGTAAACATTTGAAAAATAATCCTGTTTCGTCAACATTAAAAATATCGTCTGGAGAATAATTTTCGATGAGTTTCGGTAAATTATTTATCCATACGGAACATTTTTGTACATCTACAGCGCCACTTTCACCACAAACTTGTTTAAAAACAACATTATTTCTGTTTTTCCAATTTGTTAACCATCCACTGCTGGCTTTAAAATGTACATGCCCCAACTTATACCCAAACTCTTCAGCTTTTTCTCGTAGAATGGGTCCATTTATTGGAATTTTTTTGTCAAGACATTGTTGAAACCATTTTAATAAACAGGATTCTATATCAGAGTATTCTCCTGGTTTCATTTTTTTTCGAGTTGCCGAGTTTTCATTAAAGTTTTTCAAAATTACCTCTTTACTTTTTATTATTGTAGATAATGTACTCGCTGGAATTCCAAAATCTTTGGCTATTTCTTGTTTTTTCTTTTCACCTTTTTCAATAATTCTAAGTAAGTTCACTTTTTCTGCAAGTGATAATGTTGTTAATTTTCTTTTTTGAGCCATAATAACCACTGATTTAACACTGTTACACTCGCTCAATAAACGGTTAAACGAACAAACGGCATAGAACTAAAAATGAAATCTATTGTATGAAATTATCAAGGTTTAAGTTACAAACATTTAGTTGATTATAATGGTCGGGTTTTACAAAACAAGTGATAGGCGAAAAATAATCGCCTTGATAAACTACTTTTAGTACTAAATTTGGATAAGAAAATTCGAGATATCGAAAATTTGTCAAATTAATTTTCGAGTTACCAAGATTATTTAAACATTAAGTGTAATTGTTATTTGAAGGGGAATTTTAATTATTCGAGACATCGAGAATTTCGAGTTATCAAGGTTCGAGTTACCGAGAGTCGACTGTACTAGAACGTGATTCGTTTAAAGAAAGTTATGTCAACAGCGTTAAGACCGTTAAAATACACGATATGACATCTACTTCAACAAATGGATTCACGAAGGTTAACTATATAATATTATTCTAAACTGAGTTTAAAATATTACACAGACTTTTATCGATAATTCAAAACCAATGCGAGTTGATTTGGGGTATCGAGTTATAAAATGATGAAACAACTGAAATCGATGAAACTGAGCCATCGATTTAAATATTAATATAATTTGAGTAGTATTGATGTTTGTGAATTCGTTGAACAGCAAATTAGGGTAGTGAAAATCAGAATATGCGACAACAACAGGTTGGATTAAGATGAATTAATTTAGTTTCAAATCCAGATCAGTCGATTACGAAGGGATCTTGTTTTAAACATAGACAAAAAACACTTACCGTTCAACTAATGACTTAATTGGTTCAAAGTGACTGTTATGATTTACTATATGATTTCGTAGAAGAAACGGATTTGATGCAGCAATGTAATAATTACATAAAGGTAATATTAACAATATTATACATATAACATATACACTTATCTTATACGGAAGATGTCGATCGATTTTATCGATAACTCGTGCAGCATTATTTGAAAACATTCAAATCAGATAAAAAGCTTCTTTTGAAAGCAAACCACTTGTCAAAGATAAATATTAATATTTTTGAATTCTTATTATAAAATAAAATTTATCTGTTTTAATATTTTATAGATTCAATAAAATACATCAAGATGAAGAAGTTAACGACAGCTCACTGAACATGAAATACATAATCAACGATATTGAAGATGACTTACAATATTATATAAATGTTTAATTTCTTAACAATTTTTTCTATATTTATTTCATTACTTTAATAAAATTTTACATTTTGTTTACATAATATTTATATTTTTTTCTTGCAATATATAATATTATTATATTATTGTATATTTCTTATTTATATCGTCGCATACATGATAAAATGCATAATTAATAATGTAGTTAACATATTTAAGATTAAGAAAAAACTGATATGGTGATGAATTTACAAAACTATAAAATATAATAACTAAAATGGGTGTAATTTTATTTTTACATGGAAGAAAATTCATATAATATTCAAGACAAAGTGCAACTGATTAAGTTCCTATATCTTTATTTTCAATTGAATATAAATATTTATAAGAAGCAATTAAAATACAGTGGATTCCGCCTAATGTGGGCATAAGTTAATGTTTAATTTCGAAAATGGGGCTGCTAAGCAAACTCAAGCCCCCCCTTAAATTGCGCCGATGATTTTATTTCACTGGTGCTCATGTTCTCTAATGAAATTAATAATATCTGTAACGCAAGTATGGTCACTGCGAGTGGTTTTTTCACTAGCAAATCTTGGGTATTGAATAAAATATAAAATATAAATAAAGATATTTTGATTCCTATAAAAGTATATAAAAGTAAATGTATATAAATTATAAGAAATTTACATGCGAGGATAAATACAATTATAATCGATAGGAACTCAGGCTTAATCGATATTCTTCTTATATCCTGACTGCCTCGTGACACATATTGGATCTTTTAAAAGATTACTATGCATTTTTATCCTATTAAAATCATAGATATTTTATTAAATTAACTTTAAAACCATTTAAAAAACCTCATAAATCAAAATTAACTTATAATATTAATTAATCAAATTAAAAAGTGTCACTGCTGGGTGGCTTCTTTTAACGGTCAATATTTGTATATCAACAATTCTATCCACTCATACTTATGGCCAGTGTAGGGAATAGATAAGGCAAAATTTATCTAGATAAAGATAAAAGATAATATGTCCAAATTCATCTAGATAAAGATAAAAGATAATTTCATTTTTTTCTAGATAAAAAAAAAAGATATTATTATTTAAAAAAATATTTTATTCATTAATCTTATTTCATTTTTATTCATTTCGTCGACAAACACTCTCCGGCCTTGTCGTGTTCAGTTCTGTTTACCTTAGTCCATGCCAGTGGCAGAACTAGAGGTAGGAAGACGGGAATTCATCCCCGTGCGTAAAATTGTAGAGAGTGTAATTTTTGTAGAATATTATTTAATATTAACTGCTAGTTTTTTATTTATTTATTATTTTAATATAACATTATCACGGTGGACCACGTCAATTTTGGTAGATCACATGTTTTTGCGGTAAATCACGTATTGGGAGATAGCCTAAAAGTTAAAAATTCTTTAGGATAATGAGAATTGAGGTAATAGTGCTCAAAACAGTTATTAGCTACCTCATTAGTTTTGATTTGTATTCCACCATTCTACGAATTACAAATACGAGTAAATTTTTTTACTGGAATAGGGGGACGCCACGTTCACCATGACTAATGTCCGAAATAATTTTTATTAAAATCTGGATTTCAATTGACATCAATTTTACAACGAATATTAAATTTTTTAGAAAATTAATTGGAGAATGGGAATAAATAGAGAATTTAAAAATATCTATATACTTCGTTTCATTACCTACTATTTTTATACCTTCGCAATCGCCGACATGAAACGGAGCTACGGATACACGGATGTCCAATGGTGGCATTATTTTACATGTAAAAATGTAAAAATTAAATCGGACAATAACTATATATTCTGTATGCTATGCTTTTATCTGGTACTACAGCTGATAATGATCTTTCGACTTTATTTTGTTTGGATTCTCCTTTAATATAATGCTATGTTTTATAATTTTTACTTTTCAGATGTTTATCATATTTTAAATGATATTTTTGTTATAACACTGAACTTTATTTTTATTTTTGTATTTGTATTTTGTCAAAAATCTCAATAAATCATATTTTTAGATGAGGTAAGATGGAAAATATCTGTATCTCAAAAAATGTTGGTCAAAAGTAAAACAATTTTGTATGTTGGCCATCGTACTGCAATAACATATTTGATATCAAGGAATCGTTTAAATAAAACGGTGCTAAACGTAACCACAAGTTGAACAAAACGACAAACATCAATGTTATAATTTCAAATAGCGAAGAAGTAAGTATACATTTATGATATATGTTATATCTTATAAGTTTTAAAATTATTTGAATATTAGGAATTCTGAGCGCTGAAATCGGCGAGCATAAAGTATGAAAATTGCTGCGGAAGAAGTTATTGAAAAAATGTTAAATAAAATTGTGTTAAATAATTATGTTCATTTATATTTTATTATAAAGTTCATCCTGTATTAAGCATTTGATTTTGAAATTAAAATACATTTAGTCATTCTAAGAAAAGATTTATGTATTACGAAGTATCAAATAAGTATTATAATGTCTCATTCTTACATTATGTTGTATTTATGTAAAAAAAAAAAAAATAATATGAGAAATAATGAAAACTATTCAGTCTTGTTGGATTCCTTGCGCTACTGGTGTTTATTAATTTAATCTGCTGTAAGTATACAATCAATTCTACGTACTACAGCTATAGGCCATTTATATTTCGTATATTCAATCGTACTGTTCTACTGTAACGATCGTTACATAATAATTGGCTTATACGCATAATATATCAATTTGCATGTTAGCTGATTTTTAGATTAGCTGATTAGACACTTCGTCCCACTCCAGTCTCTTTTACCGTATAGCCTATGGTCAATATCGAATATATGTAACAAACAGCAGTTTGGCTACGATGACCATCCAATGTAGCTGAACTCCGTATTGTTTTGATATAGAAATCTATACTCGTAAGTTATGTATTAAACCAGAATTCTTTTCAGACCAGGCCCCTCCTCACTTTGGTCAACTCCAGACACGAACCCACGTATAAAAATAATTTCGTCAATCGTGTAGTAGGTGACCTACCATCTATTTTTAGGCGAATCAGGTGATCTATCGTATTATACTAAGTGTAGTTGATGATTTACAATTATTATTACCTATTATAATATTATATTATATTATTACTACACGAACATTATCGTAGTGAGTTCAAACTTAGATCGTGATTCTAAAAATATTCCTCCTAATAACAGGGATAGAAATTATAGGAAATGAGTAGGAGGACTTTGGGTTTTTGGAATGTGTTGGCAGCATAATGGTTTTCTTGCAAAACATTTTTTTGTTGTTGAACGTCAAGATAGAGCTACACTTATTCCAATAATTGAAAAATAAATAATTCCAGGAACAACAATCGTATCAGATGAATGGAAACCCTATACATTTTTAAAAAATAAAAGATATAATCACTTGCCTGTAATTTTGAACATTTTGTCGACTCGCTAACAGGAGCCAACACTCAGACAATAGAATGCATTTGGTTATATGAAAATACTTCGAAAAATGCATTGCACTACATCGGAATTTTTACATCGTCATCTGATTGATGTATGGTGGAGGTAAGTTAATTCTCAACATACTTTTATTAAAATGTTCAAATAGTACTAAAAATACTACTAAAAATTACCTACTAAAAATATTTATTGTAATTGAAATTTTTATCGTATTTGGTAAGTTATTTTTTATTTTTTTATATTTGACAAATTTTTTGTATGATATAACGAATTCGTATTAAAACATATAACGTGTTTTTATACTACATATTAAAGAAATTTTTTTTTAATTTGTATGTATATCACTCGTCCTGAATCGGCAGATCATTCTACTGCGGTAGATCACCTGCTACACGAATGCCATAATTTTCTGTAATCGTATATTTAAAAATAGAATGACGGCCAATAGTGGATTATCGATAAAGCAACAAGCTTTTATAGATAATGACTCGTATTGGTTGTTGCTGCCTGTGTCATGTATAAATATACTTGTGAACTCACTATACACTATACAGGACGCAATTATTAACACATAAATTTTAGAACCTTTTTCTGTCCTATCAATGCAATGTTGATTTTTAAAATTTTCTTGCATCCCTCCCATAAAGCTTTCGTGGCCCCCGGAGGGTCACGTCCCACACTTGTAAAACCTCTGTATTAAACCTTAATAATTATCTGAACTAATCAATATTAATTTGTATCATTAAGGTGCTTTTACTTTATACTCCTGAGCTACGGTTGAATATATTCAAAAGGACTATAAAACCTATCTTTAATATCCCATATTTAACTGGTCACCCCCGATCACGTTGCACTAAAATAATTTTTTTATGTATATTTTCGTAAGTTTTTCGTCAAATAAAAATTCTAGGTGTTTTATCATACACAACAAAAAGTAAAACAAATAATAAAGTATTTTGAACGGATGAGATACAATGATTATTTCTATTCGACTAATTGTCATTGAAATATAAAGTGATTTTTTCCCTTTAAGAACTCCTTTTTCTGAAATTTACATGCAAAATTATGAAACCAGTAATATTATTAACAACAAAATATACAATCTATATATATAAGTATATTATAGATATTTTTATTTTATTTTATTTAGAGATTCAAATAGAAAAGCATAAAATTTAGTTAAAGATTAAAACAAAATAAATAAAAGTATTCAATCAACAATCGAAAT